GCCCTGCTCACCCTGGATTTCCCAGGGAGGGGCCTGTATCCTAACGCCGCAAGATGAAGGTTTTACAGCTTTTCCCTTCTGCGGCTTCTCCTTTCCCCTTTTCCTCATTCCTCTGCTGGATCCGAGCCACTCTTCATCAGGTCATCCTGCCTCAGTTACAGGGCACACGGCCTGGTCTACCCCTTCCGTGTCCCAGGGCTTCTCTGGGCCTGGGGGTGAGGGGCCCAGTGTGCGCAGTCCCAAGAGAGGCAGGATGGGGGTTGGGAGAGGCCGCGGGTCCAGTCCAGGAAGGGACTGACACAGTGTCCCCCCTGCAGACCACCCGTGGTGCCCCCCACCGGGGACAACAGAAGCCCAACCAGAGTCTGAGGTTTCAGTGTCAGCTGGGCTCTAGCTCTGTTAGCCGTGACCCCAGCGGGTCTCGCCGGGAGGGGAAGGGAAGATTCCTTGTATCCATATAAAATCCTTCCATAGTCTTATTTAAAATGGAACAGAGGACTGAAGAGTCACCTTGGAGCTTGGCCTGGAACCAGTGTCCTGTGCCTGCTGCTGGGGATGGGCGCCGGCTCCCAGACTCCCTGCGAGGGTGCTAACCCGGCCCCCAGAGGGGCACGTGCGTGGAGACACTGGGTTCGCACGGACAAGGGGGCAGGAACACACCACAGTGCCCGGGCACCTCGGGCTCCCCATCCGTTTGGAGGCTTTCTTGTCTTCCTTTTGAAGATGAGAAGACAAAGGTCCTGAGACACCCGGTGACTCATGCCGGGTCCCAAAAGCTGCCCTTGCTGGATCCCAGATGACTCCCATGTCACCTCACCCACTGATTGGAAATCTTTCTGCTGCCATCTCTGTATCTGCAGCCTGAGGAGACAGTAGGCAAATACAGAGGGGAGGGGAGGGGGAGGGGAGGGGAGGGGAGGGGAGGGGAGGGGAGGGGAGGAGAGGAGAGGAGAGGAGAGAGGGAGGGAGGGAGGGAGGGAGGGAAGGAAGGAAGGAAGGAAGGAAGGAAGGAAGGAAGGAAGGAAGGAAGGAAGGAAGGATCATTTTGCTAATGCAATAAATTGCAAATCCTTCTGATGCCTGCAAAGTCCCAATAGTTCCTTGAATTTCTCGGCTAATCAAGGCTGCATGGGTATTATTACCTAAAAGGACAGAAGTCCTTCTAGAACTGCACCCCCCCTTTCTTCCCACCACCTCTGAGAGCTTCTGAGGGAAAGTGGTGTGGATGCTGGCTCGCACAATTAGCTCCTAATTTTGTCAGGCTTCTCCCCGCGAGCCGCTCCGTCTCATAATCACGGCTCTCCGCTGTGCCCCGGAGGCTGCGACAAAGGCTCGCTGATTCAACGGGAGCTGTGATTGAGGTGGGATCGATGCAGAGACATCACCAGTCCCTCAGTCGGACCCCCGGCCACTTTGCCAGCCAGAAGCGGAAGCTTGCGGGCACACAGGGTTTTGTTATCAGCCCATGGGCTTGGGGCTACCCCCAGGCCACGACCTGAAAAGAAACAGGATACACGGTGGCAGCAGACTTAGCCTGGGTGGCCGGGCTGCTGCACCCCCCACGGGAATGTGGCCTGCTTCTTGAGGTCAGGTGACAGGAAGGAGGGACGGTAGGGACTCCAAGGCAGAAAGGCTCAAATCATTTTGGACATACAGGCCCTCTACCCAGCCATGGTTGTTTCTTCTTCTTTCTTCTTCCTTCTTCTTCTTCTTCTTTCTTCTTCTTCTTTCTTCTTCTTCTTTCTTCTTCTTCTTTCTTCTTCTTCTTCTTCTTTTTTTGATTTTTCATGTTTTTTTTTTTTGGGGGGGGATTTGGTTTTTGTTTTTGTGTGTGCCTGTGTGTATAAGGGGAAGCGGCTTCTCTCCACCGCCTGCAGCCTCTTTGTCCGTCTGTTTGTCCACTCTATGGGGAGGAGGAGCGGCACCCGGGGGCTCAGTTGGTTGAGCGCCCCCCTGCTCATCTCAACTCAGGTCTTGATCTCAGGGTCCTGAGTTCAAGTCTCAGTTGGGCTCCAGGCTCCACCTTCAGGGCACTTAAGAGAGAGGGGGGGGGATGGGGGCCCTCCTCCCACGCGCACTCCCCAGCCCAGAGCCTGACCTGGCCTGGAAGAAGTGTTTGGCCCCAACGTTTTCGGGGATTCTCCGAGGACACTGCCCCGGGCGGGGCTGCAAATCCCTATAGAGATGCCCTTAGGGGAGTTCAGGGGAACAGGTACCGTTTTCCCTTCATCCAAGAAAAGTGGCGCATCCCCTGGCCAAGATCAAAGGGCGAGCGGGCGAACCCGGGGCTGCACAGGGCTCTGCTGAGCAGTTTAGCATCCGCAGAAAATTAATCCGAATGTTTCTATTTGGGGCCGAAGAGCGCGCCCGGGGAGACTGAGGCGGGAGCGAGGTGGTCCGCTGCCGGGGCTGTAGAGTGTCTATGCCTTTGGGCTCTGACCCTAAGGGGGAGGGCAACTCCCCGCGGGCTAAGGCCCGCGGCCCAGGGTCTCTCCAAGCCCCGCACCGTTGGCCTGGGGCTCTTCAGCCGCCACAGCCACAGCCACAACCACAGCCACAGCCACAGCCACAGCCACAGCCACGCGGCCGAGGCCGAGGCCGGAGGGGCCAATTAGGCAGGAGGAAGCCGGGGAAGAGCATGGAGGCGGCGGGAGGCGCGGGTGAGGGGGGGCGACTCGGCGGGAGCCGGCGGGCGCCCACAGGTGGGCGGGGCGCGGGGGGTCCCCGACCCCAGACCCCGGACCCCGGACCGGGACCCCGCGGCGCAGCCTCGCCAGGCGGCGGGGCCGCGGAGCAGAGAGCGGGGAGGGGGAGCTCGCGGGGGGGGGGGGGGTGAGGGCGGGAGGATCCGGGGCGGGAGGATCCAGGGGGCGGGGAGCGCGCAGGGGGCGGGGGGGGGCGGGGGGGGCGGGAGGGAGCGCGCGGAGCGGGGTGCGCAGGGAGGGCGGGGGGGTGCGCGGAGGGGCGCGCGGGGGGCGGGGGTGCGGGGGGCGGGGGGGGCGGGGGGGGGCGGAGGGAGCGCGCGGAGCGGGGTGCGCAGGGAGGGCGGGGGGGTGCGCGGAGGGGCGCGCGGGGGCGGGGGTGCGGGGAGCGCGGGGGCGCCCCGGGGGCGGAGGGGAGCGCGCGGGGGTGCGAGGGGCGCGCGGGGGGCGGGGTTGCGGGGAGCGCGGGGGAGCGCGCGGGGGGGGGCAGGGCGTGCGCGCGGGGGGCGGGGGTGCGCGCGGGGGGGCGGGGGGGCGGTGAGCGCGGGGGGGCCCCCCGGGGGCGGAGGGGAGCGCGCGGGGGTGCGGGGGGCGCGCAGGGGGGCGGGGGGGGCGCGCGGGCTCCCACGCCGGCCTCGGTGGCCCGCGGCGCGCTCCGGCGGCTCGTGTCCCTGGGCGGCGGCGCGGCGGCGGGGCTGCGGGGTCCCGCGCGGAGGTGTCCCCAGCCCGCGGGGTGCAGAGCGCGGGCGGCGGCGCCGCGGGGACGAGAGCCGGGGCGGAGCGGCCGCGGGCGGCGCGGGCACGGAGGCGACTCGGGCAACGCGCGGAGCAGCCCGCGGAGCAGCCCGCGGAGCCGCCCCGGCCGGGTGCACGCGCCGGGCGGAGCGCGCAGGTGGGGCGCGGGGCCCCCGCCCCGGAGGATGTGCGCCGGCGCCCCGGGCCCGCGCCCGCCGCTGCTGTCCCCGAGCCCGCGGCGAGCCCGGCGTCCGGCCCGCGCTCTGCGCTCATGTATGTAGGCTGCGCGCCTCCCCGGGCCGGGGGTGCATGCGGGGCGTCGGCGCCTGGCGCGCCCTTCCTCCTTCCCGCAGCTCGGAGGACCTCCCCCGGCCCCCGCCTCCGGCCCCGACCTGGAGTTCGCAGATGGGGGGGGGGTGCGGCTCGCCCGCGCTGAGGTCCTCGGCCCGGCTGGGAGTGAGCACAGGGCAGGACTGTCCCAGCCCTACGTGGGGTGGGGGTGGGGTGGGGTGGGGGTGGGGGGGCGGGGGCGACCCCTGGGCGCGCCGGGCGGAGGCCGCTGGCTGCGGGGCGCGGCGGAGAGAGGCTGCGCGGCCCGCACCCCGCGGCGTCGACGGCTCCCTTGGCCCCTTCGGGCCGCAGAAACTTTGGGACCCGGAGAGGCTTTCGGGGCTGGGGAGAGTGACAGGGACGTGCCCCCGCCCTGCATCCCCGGCCTCCCCGACGCGCACCCTGGGGCCGCCGGGACCCTCGTGCTCCGTCGCTGCGCCCCCCTCCCGGGTGGAAGCGGCCCGCGCGGGGGTCTCCCACCTAAGCGCCGCCGGGAGCCGACCGGCCGGCTGGGGGGAGGGGGCGGGCGTGGAGGAGCCGGAGCCCCCGGGACCCCGCCCCGGTGCCTGCGGTGCTCGGGGCCGTCCTTCCGCGCTGGGGGCCAGGGAGGAGGGGGCGGGGAGGCGGCGTCCGCTCCCGGCGCTCCAGGCTTTTGAAAAGTTGTTGGAGATGCGTCCCGGGCCCCGGGAGCTCCGCGAAGCCCCTCCCGCGCCCTCGGCCTCGCGCCCTCGGGCAGCCCCCGCGCACGGGCCCCGCGCGCAACTCCACTGCGGGATCCTCAGGCATGTGGCGAGCCCCGGGGAGGGGCGCGGGGGGGGGGCTCCCGGGCTCCGGATCGCGCGGCGCTGTCCGCGGTGTGCGGGGGGCGCGGGCCCGGCTGCCCCGTGCGCCCCCCGCCCCGCCCCGCCCCGCCCCGCGCGGCCCCTCCGCGGCAGAGCCGGCGTCCGCCTGGGCACCGGCACCGGCTCCGGCTCCGGCTCCGGCTCGGGCACCGGGGAGGTCCGGGCTGGCTGCCCCCGCCCGCGCCGCGCGGCTCGTTCGTCTGGAGCGCGGCCGGGGCCGGGCGGGGGCCGGCGGGGCCGGGCGCGCGCGGGCCGCGGGGCTCAGCTGTGCTGCTGTTCTCTCCGCAGGGACGGCGGCTCCCGGCTGGCGGCGGCGCGCCCCCGGGCCGTGAATGCGACTCGCCCCTCGGCCGCGCCCCCCGCCCGCCCGCCCGCCGGGACGCGGGAGGGGATGCCCCGCGGCGCTGCCATGGCCGTGGGCGCGCTGTCCAGCTCGCTCCTGGTCACCTGCTGCCTGATGGTGGCTCTGTGCAGCCCGAGCATCCCGCTGGAGAAGCTGGCCCAGGCGCCCGCGCAGCCGGGCCAGGAGAAGCGCGAGCACGCGTCTCGGGACGGCCCGGGGCGGGTGGCCGAGCTCGGGCGGCCCGCGAGGGACGAGGGCGGCGGCGGCCGCGACTGGAAGAGCAGGGGCGGCCGCGGGCTGGGCGGCCGGGACGCGTGGAGCAGGCAGAAGCAGGCCTGGGCCGCCCAGGGCGCCGGGGGCGCCAAGGCCGGGGACCTGCAGGGCCGGGCGCGCGGGGACACCCCGCAGGGGGAGTCCCCGGCCCCCGCCGCGCAGGACGCCGCCCGCGCCGACCCGGCGCCCACGCCCGAGCCGCCCGAGGAGTACGCGTACCCGGACTACCGCGGCAAGGGCTGCGTGGACGAGAGCGGCTTCGTGTACGCCATCGGGGAGAAGTTCGCGCCGGGCCCCTCGGCCTGCCCCTGCCTGTGCACCGAGGAGGGGCCGCTGTGCGCGCAGCCCGAGTGCCCGCGCCTGCACCCGCGCTGCATCCACGTCGACACGAGCCAGTGCTGCCCGCAGTGCAAGGAGAGGAAGAACTACTGCGAGTTCCGGGGCAGGACCTACCAGACTCTGGAGGAGTTCGTGGTAAGAGGCGAGCGCCCGCCGGCCCACCTTGCACCTCCCAGCGCCCGGGGCGCGACCCCCCCCCGTGCGCCCCGTGCGCCCCACTTTGAAGAAGAGGCGCACGGCTGTGCCCGCGTCCCCTCGGCACGATCCCTCTTTGGGTGCAGAGGTAATCTCCAGAGCGGTGTGGCCCATCCGAGTCCGCGGTGACTCCCGGGGCCTTGGGGTCTCCCCCGGGGAGGGGTCGGGTCTGGAGAGGGCGAGGCCCCGGGGCGGGGCGCGGCGGGGCGGGGCGGGGCGGGGCGGGGCGCGCTCCCGTTGCCGCGGCTGCGAACTCAACCTGTTTCCAAGCGCAGGCTGATTTGCGAGCCATTTGGGATACATCCTTCGGCTAATGGCTAATGAAGGAAGACCAGTCACATCAATAAGCCATTTCCCCAGATTAGGGGGTGGGGTGTCATGCACAAGTTCTGAAAAGGAAAAGGAGAGGAAAATGCTTGCTCATGGGCCGCCGGGACGTCGAGGAGGGCAGAGGCAGGAGGCCCAGGGGTAGGGTTAGAAATCGTGCAGGTCCGGGTGGGTACCGGGAACACTGTGCAAGGGCGCCCGGGCTCCTGGATGCCCGCGCTGTGTGTCGGGCTCCCGTGCGGTTTCCAGGTGCGTGGACTTAGCTAACCCGCACACCACGCCGCCAAACAGGTTATTACCTAAGATCTCCAGTTGATGGAGAGGAGGAAACCGAGGCCGGAATCTTTACATAATGTGGTGAAGGCGAGGCGGCTGTTGAGAAGCAGACTCGTGTGTCGGTCGGGCCAAGCCGTTCGGTTCCACTGTGACACCTTCTCCCCCCACACTCTGTGGGACACACAAGCCCCCCCGTCCAGCCGGGGGCAGGTTTGCATGGAGGTGCTGGCTGGCACCACTGTGGGCCCCTTGGGGAACTTGGCAGCCCTGCCTGTCACTGGCGGGCTGGGCTGAAACGCTCAGCTCCTCTTCCAGCCCCCCCCCCCCCCCCCAGCAAGGCAGGCTCAACCTGTGGCCGGGCTGGACGTGGCCCGCTGACGTGGCGCCTGGGAGGTTTCCTGGGCGGAAGGGGGCAGCGTGCAGGTGCAGCCGCGGAAGCCGAACGGAGAAGGCAGTTGGGAAGGATCCCTGCCCGCTGCTGGAGGCCGCCCAGCGCCCAGCCTCGGAGACCTGCACCTCAGGGTACGCCCGGGATGCGATGGCACCGCGTGGATTTCAGGAATAAATCATCAGGGTTGTAGAGCCAGAAAGCCAGGAAGGCCGGGCCTGGAGATAAAGTGGAGGCAAAGCTGGGATTTAGTCAGGAAACCGGGGTGTCCATCCCGACCTTGCCACTAACCAGCGGAGCGCTTGTCCCCTCCAGGTTCGTGTTCCTCGTCCGCCAGGTGAGGGGCCGCCAGGTGAGCTGAGGCTTGCTGGGGCTCTGGCAGCCTGAGGCTCGGGGCCCACCTCCACGCCCACTGCCTGGGGGTACAGCTGTTCACGGGGGCCCCTTGGAGAAGCAAAGAAAAATTGGTGGGGCGACTCCTCCGACCCAGGCCGGGCCTGCGCCATGAGGACGGTGGGAGCGGGCGGCCCCGTGCTCTGGCTGGGGGCCTGCTCAGGCCTCTCGGGGCGCTGGCGCGGAGGCGAGGCCAGAGGAGGGCCCTTCTGTGCTGGCCTGCGCAGGGCTGTCGCCGAGGGCCCCGCACACAGATCTCTTGAGTTTGAGGCTCGTAAGGAAACCTAGGACGCAGGAGAACACACGCCAGCTGTAGGGTTTTAATTAATGACGTTGATTGTGAGCCCTGGGTGTCGTCGGCCGAGGAATCGCCGCATTTTTGATCTGGAAAGCCCGAGCACATCACGTGGCCGTCGCGTCCCCGAGATGGCAGACAGAAGGGAGAGTTTACACTTTGGCTTCCGGGCTCGGCCACTGAGCGTGGGGCCCCCCAAAGCCGCCTTTGCGGGGGGACGAGGGAGCCCTTCCCGGACTCCCCACTTCCAAAGGGAGGGGCTCAGTGAGGAGACTGTGTTTCAGGCTCTGGACACGGGCGACGTTAGCAACAAAAGGGAGATTGCAAAGATTATGATCTTGGGAAGATTGAGGTACCGGCGAGCCCCTTTATAGAGCATGAAGAGCATCTTCCATCCTCAGGTGACGCCTCACCTCTAACTTTCATCCAATCACCACCGGCTGCCGGGCCGTGCGCGGCGAGGGTGTTGCAGAGCTGCCGCGAGCTTTCAGCTGTGTGCTTGCTCCTGTGACGCGTGAAGATCTCACGCCTGGACGGTGTGCACCCCGTGCCCCTGCGTTTCTGTTGCTGTCAGGAACATTCTAGGCATTTCCCTAAGTCACTGTGGTTTGGTGCAAGTCATTTCGCGTCCGCGTCTTTGTTTCCTCTCACGTACCAGAAGGGCTGTGGCACGTTGCTGGGGGTGTCAGAGGGACGAGGGTGCGGGGCCAGCACTGAGCCCCGGGCGTCTTGGGGGTTGCCGTCGCGCAGAATTGCAGGGCTGGGCGGCCGTGTCCACCTGCCTGGTCTGGGGGCGCGGAGCTTCGCAGGGAGCCCCGCCACTGTGGTTGCCGTGTGCAGAGCAGGGGCGTGGAGAGGGGCTGTGGAGAGGCCTTGCCGTGGGAAAACGCTCTGCTCTTCTCTGAAGATGTAATTGAGGCGAAGCTTGTGGGACCGTGGGGTCCTGCGTGGAAGGCTGTGGACTGTGGCAGGGAGGAGGTGGCAAGGCGGCCGGTTCTGGGCCTCCTTCCCTGGGAGGCACCTGTGCTCTCTGCTGGGGGGGGGTCCTGCTGGGGCTGGGGCTGGGGGCTCACCCTGGGCCTCCTTCCCTGGGAGGCTCCTGTGCTCTCTGCTGGGGGGGGTCCTGCTGGGGGCTGGGGGGTCACCCTGGGTCTCCTTCCCTGGGAGGCTCCTGTGCTCTCTGCTGGGGGGAGTCCTCCTGGGGGCTGGGGGGTCACCCTGGGCCTCCTTCCCTGGGAGGCACCAGTGCTCTCTGCTGGGGGGGGTCCTCCTGGGGGCTGGGGGCTCACCCTGGGCCTCCTTCCCTGGGAGGCTCCTGTGCTCTCTGCTGGGGGGAGTCCTCCTGGGGGCTGGGGGGTCACCCTGGGCCTCCTTCCCTGAGAGGCACCAGTGCTCTCTGCTGGGGGGGGGTCCTCCTGGGGGCTGGGGGCTCACCCTGGGCCTCCTTCCCTGGGAGGCTCCTGTGCTCTCTGCTGGGGGGCGTCCTCCTGGGGGCTGGGGGCTCACCCTGGGCCTCCTTCCGGAAGCCACTAGAACAGTAGATCCTGCCCAGGGCCTACAAGGCAGGTTTGGCCCCAGGGGGGGCCTCCCCCGGGCCCCCTCCGTGCCGGGTGCCTCTCCGTCTTGGACACGTGGCTCCCTGCCCAGGTCCCACAGTGAGCTCCGTCTTTTCCCTCCTCTCCGGGCGCCCCCCCCCCCCCCCCCCCCCGTCCCAGCCCTGCTCCGCTCCTCACCGCCTGCTTGATCTCAGCCCGGTGTCGGCAGACGACCTCACTCACTGCTTCCAAGGCGCCCCGTTAGGCTGCTCATAATAAGATGCCCACATTTTTCTGGGGGCATTTGCAACTCAACTTGTATATGCAAACCAAACACCGAGTAACGAAGAGCATATTCCGCGCTGGCTCTCAAATTCTCCCAAGTAGCCTGGTGGTCAGCTTACGCCAGCAGGTATCCGACTTAGAATAAGGAAGCTGGTCTGTGGGTTTCTGTTTTTGTGTAACAATGGTGTTTTCACGTGCTGTCTGCCTCCCAGGTCTGTTCACTCGTGGGGCCGCTGTGACAAAGTGCCGCTGACCAGGCGGCTCCAACGGTAGAGACTCGTTGATTCACGGCCCTCGAGGCTGGAGGTCTGAGATCGAGGTGTGGGCCGGGCTGGTTCCTTCCGAGGCCTCTCTCCTGGGCATGTAGACGGCCGTCTTCTCCCGTGTCCCCACCAGGGCCACCTGTGTCCTCCTCGTAGCAGACGGGGGCCCACCTGTATGGCCTCATTTTGACGTATCTCGTCTCGTGTCTCGAAATACAGTCACGCTCAGAGATACCAGGGGTCGGCACTCGAACGTGGGAATCTGGGAGGGAGGACGCGCTCCGGGCTGTAACGCAGCTGTCACGGGTGTCGAGGCCACAGTTGACCGCAGATGCAGGAGCCCAGGGAGGCACAAGGAGTGTGGGTGGAGGGGGTCGCGGGGAAGGCTGCAGGGGCAGGTGCGATGGAAGGGAGGCTTTACAAAGACGGCTGGGAGGGATTGATGACAAACTGGACCCCGAGAAGCAGAGCCAGCAGCCTGCCCGAGCCCGCTCGGTCCATCTGTCCCATTCTGGGCACCACGTGAGGGGCTACTCTACTACCTCTGCCCTGGGGTCCGAGCTCTTGGGGGCTCCACGGGGCAGTTTCCAATCCGTCCCAACAGCTACCAGGCGGGCCAGCAGCACACCCAAGCTGGATCCTCCTGTGGAGCCGCAAAGTAAGTCATCCCCGTCCCAGGGTGTCCTGACCCCCAGAAGCGGGGTCTGCGGGCTCATTTCAGCGTGCTGTGGGACCCGCTTAGACGGCTCTCGTGGCCAGTGGGACACCCGTTCGGTCTCGGCACAGCGGCCCTCGTAGGGAGCAGGAGCTCCAAGGGGCGGTTGTGTTCTCGTTGAAGAAAAGGGGGAACTGAATTATGAACGAGCACGGCCCGCTCGACTGTCTTTGAGAGCGAGAGGCCTGTTGGACGGGAGGCAGCTGGCTGGAGACCCACAGGCACGGGGCCGGGGTGGACCCAGGCTCCCCCAGGGTGTCACTGTCTGCCCCGAGATTCACCCCGCTGTGCAACCTCATTTCCAGAAGTTCAGCGATGAAAAAAATTCTTCCATGAGATTTGGAATCCAAAGATCTCCACCGACGGAGATCTCCGTGCCGTTACCAGGAGGTGCCGGCGGGGAGGGAGACCCAGGCGTCGTACTTTTCGGTTTTATGGTGTTTATTTTCCCTTGGCTGATGTC